CCATATTATCTTTTGTTTTTTTATATAGAATTTGGATCCAAAATTGAGACTAAGTGTTTTCGTGGAACAGAATTTTTTATTGCATTTTTAAATGATCTTATTAACACAAAATTTCATTAATTTTAATTAATAAAATAAAATAGTTTATTATAAAAATATAAAAAGCCGATTTGTGAAAGACAACATATATATATAAATATGAATTGTAACCAAATTTATATATGAAAAATACCAAAGTTATTAAAACTACAGTATATATAACTGGTGATGTTTATTATTACTCACTGAATGGGTGTCGATGAAATGGGTGTTGATGAAGTAAACGCCTCCCCTTAAATCCCCGGTGTGAGTATTTAGACCTTTTGCAATACTTATAAATGGACGAATTACAAGTGCACGAAGAATCTTCACAGCGATCACTTGCTAAGAAAAATTCACACTATGTATAGTAAATTGGAATCACTCTGCATACAAGTATACACAGTTAAAAATTCAAATCCTGATGTAGGCAAATCTTTATATTTTTCAAGTGAAAACTTATTATTTTAGGCATTATAAGCAATGATAAAACAAATAAAAATGTCTAATATAAATGCTACTTTATTAAACTATATATATACTTCTGCGCCATTAACTGCTTTAAGTTTCATTTATAGAATCAAAAGTCATGAAATATTCATTTATTTAAAAAGACCTTAATTGATTCGTGTTTTTTTTAGTTTTCTTCGTCTTACTTTCAGGGGTGTGAATCATCCGTGTTGTCATTTTAATAGTTTCAACCCTACTATCTTTATTCCATAGAAAGTCTCGTATAGTTTTTGAGCTTTCAGATAATAGGCACTAATTCACGAGAAACTAAAATGTTAATTTGAGTCTTCCGTATTTTGTTTCTTCTGAAATCTATCTATACCAACCTCATACTTCAACAAGCCCATTACAGTTTCATGGGCCTTTGCCATGTCTGTCCATGTCTTAGGTAAGGAAAATGTTAATGTTGCTTCCATAGTATAAATCTCGGTATATTTGAGTTGAAATTCGTAAATGGTTAACTCATTTACTGTTAAAACACAGAATTAGTAAGACATGATAACAACAATTATAGGCGAAGAATATTTAGAACTTACAATATGACTGTAATCCATATAACCTGACCAGAGTAATGTCAGAACTCGGACTAAGCTCTGCAAACTGATTCATTAAAGTTTTTAACATCTTCGTGATCTTCATCCAATCACCCTTAAAGTGTGCCCAATCATTTTTCATCAGAGGTCCACTGACTTCAGTTACAGAAAATTCTTTATCTTCTTCTCTCATGGAAATAATAGTATCTATTTTCTTTCCACTAGATCGGCGTTCGTCATCTGTTTTTTGAGAATTACCATCTTTTGCACTCGCCTTGAGGCAAGTTTCTCCGTATGATGCAAGCCAATCTTTTTTATTTTTAATGAAGAAGTAACCAAGAATGGGTGCTAAAACATTAATGATATATGTTCCCTCAGACATAGGATCAAGAAACAAATTCACATCTTCCATTAATTCTATCCTATATAAGGTTGGTCTCATTAGCATCATCAGACTCCTCCAATGAAGATCAAATAAATATACTCACATACGACTCACAAAATGCAACGCGAAGCTCTTTTCAAATGAAGAAATAGTTTCTTCTTTCCGTCGATTAAGTTTCTCCTTAGTCTTTTTTATATCACGATCAATAATACTATCAAGAAATAATTTAATCTCTTGCTCCATATTATCTTTTGTTTTTTCTTCTTTCTTCCTTATATCGTTACGCATCTGTACAATGATACTGACCAATTTATAATTTTGGGTAGGGGACTGGTCGGATTTTTGCCCAATCAGTCCCCTGTCCTATAGATTAAAATTATCACATGATTATATATATCTTTGTCAGCAATATGGCCAATAAGAAAAAAGTCATAAAATGGTTTGGATTTTGTTTGGTATGTTTTGTATAAATTAATCGTTTCCATAAATTTTCTGTTTCTTGGTGATTTTTTGTTTGACCAACTGAATTTGTTATTTAAATGGGGTAGGGTTGTTGGTGAGCAGGCATGCAACTGACAAGACAGCAACCCAGGACTCAAATCTTGGAATTCGGGGAAAATCCAAAACAGCAACTTCCCAGGCTGCAACCTCCTGAGCTGCAGAATTTCAAACCAGTTTCAGACACTAACTTTATTCTAGTGGAACAGCAATCATTACACAAATGCTGATCCTCATCAGTGATCAATGCCCATATGGTGACAGCCAAACTTGGTCTGAGGGGAAGATAAGAAAAGTTTTGTCCAAAGCCTTCCAACATGTTTGGATTACCTCACCTGTGGAAAAAATCCACAGTCATGAGGAGGTGTGAGAACACCTTATTCCATGTTGGTGACAGGAAATTTTAATTAAATCTGATACCTGCAATCAACATCAGATTTATTATTCATAAGGAACTACAATTGATAATCAGGAAAAATAATTTATTTTATGAACCTTAGAGATCTGGGTAGACATGTATTATTAAAATTTTCATTTATGCATGGCCTTGGTATTACTACTACCTGGGTGATGCAATTTTTCGTTATGTCAATGACAACATCAAATGTATTTAATAATCATAATAATCACCATGAATATTTAATAGAGCAGGTATTCAC